CCTGTCTCTGCTGCTCAGTAACAGCCGTCTTTCCAGCTGTCGTCTCTCGTGCTACCGTAGGTCTTAGGGGCTGGCAAGGATCTGAAAGAAAGGAAATTTTAAAGTCTGTACAAAGTACTACATACACTCTGTTACATGTCTTCATTACTTTTCAGGTAACACCGTGTCCCATGAGGGCTATTCTGGGAGCTCTAAACAACTTTCAGAACAATCTTTCCTTGCTCAGCATCTTAACAGCTTTCAAAATTTTACTACACAGAAGATGACTCCTCTCCTTTCCTGTTAACGTAGCTGCAGAATTAAAGTGAGAGGAAAGGAAGTCTCACTCTTTCCTAACACATGGACAACTAACCTATTGTCTTGTGAGACGAAATGACAACTGTGACAGCGCAGATTAGTGTCACCACCACCACGAGTGGCCGGAAGTGGGCACCAAGGAAAGGGTTTTGAAGTCAGACAAACTTGTAACTGATGGTCTTAGTAGTTTCATGTCCTCACAAAAATGACTTAATTTTACTAAATTCGTCTAAAAGAAGAACTCACTACTGTGACAGCTAGACAAGGTCAGGAGTTATTTAGTGCAGTGCACAACACAAAGCCTTTGCGTTCCACAACTAGATCTGAAACTGTGTTTATATTAAGATATAGCAAGTACGGGAATATAGTTTAAATACAAGATTGGAACGTCTTTGTTTCAAGAAAAGAAACTTTGGTGATAGCTGACGTCTGTATTTACTGATGGTGCTAATCCCCTTCTAGAAGGGTAGAGATCGTGTGGTTGGGTCACAACCTCCCTGTGAATAGAATCATTTCAAGATTAAGCAACAAAATGGGGGGAGAGGCTTAGAATCTTTTGAGGTAGAAGCTGGGTCTCCATTTATAAACACTCCACATATAACTGTGAACTAGACAAGTGTGAAAAGCACTGCTCAGCACAGGCACAACTTCCTCAATCCCCTTGTGCTTCTCTCATCCTTATCGCTGTTGTTCCCCAAATAAACAAATATCACAACAAACTCGAGTGTCTTTAACAACTTTGTCCTAGGAGTTTCCTGAGATGCTTAATCTTGTTAGGCATTTGAATAAAATTAATCTGAAATAAGAGAGTATTATGTCCAATTGAAGACTTCTTCAGAACAAGGAGGTAATGCTTTACTTAAACTGTATTAAGGTGGGGGAAGCCACCATGAGTCCCCAGACTCAGTACTGAAGGGAGACAATACTGACTTCCACAGGCTCAAGTGTGCTGAGCACATTTACCGCTTACCTGCGAACAGGCTGTGCAAGCTTGCTGCGAGGCACTGGTATGCCCCCCGCAGAAGGGGCGCTCGGCCGGGGCAGGCCGCTCCTCATTGTAGTTGTCCCTGCAGGTCTGGTTAGAGTGGCGCTGTTGATATTGCTGGAAGGGTTTGCTGGGCCTGTGTTCTGCACCACGGGAGGTCCAGGTGAGGAGGTGGTTTGTGTGAACTGTGTAGTTTCTTGGCCACCAGAACCAGAGCCATGGTTACTAAATGCTTTCACTGGCTGCCGAAGAGCCAACGGAGATGGTGCTGCGGGGGAGCGGAACTTGCCTGGAGAAGGTACTGCATGCAGAACAGCAAAGGAAAACCAGTGTTTCCAGAGGGAACCAAGTACCAGTGAAGTTACTGCTTTGTTACCGTGACAATTGAGCACTAGAACATCTAATTATGAGCCTCACATAGACGATTTCTCTGGGCAAATAGAAAAAAGGTTACTTCATAGGATTACAATTGTCCTTGAAAAAAGTACATTAAGCAGTGTATCTTGGATCCCACAACAGGAGGGGGTGGGCACCATAGGGACCAGAAAGATGGCTCAGTGGTTAAAGGGACTTGCCAAAAATACCTAGAAGCTCAAGCTCAATCTGAGGAACCTATATAAAAGTAGGACTTGACAAAGCTGTCCTCTGACCTCCACCCCCACCCCACCATTGCCTGCATGTTCACCTGCACATGCAACACACCAATAAATAACTTAAAAAGAAATATATAGACACCATTGGATTCTGTCTTACTGTAGCAACTACTAGAGTCATGTGAGAACATTCTAGAGGAAAAAGTAAGGGCTGACTATACATGTAAACATAAATCAGATGGCTATAGCCTCAAAAACATGTCTTCAGTGTAATTAAGAATAAGGAATTAACAGTTACTATTATTGTAAAAGTCAGCTCTAGAGGCACTGAGATGATTTAGTGGGTCCCGATGCTTGCCACATACATATGACAGCTGGAACTGGATCCCTGGAACCCGTGACAAAATGAGAGAAGTAATTCCTGAAACTTGTTCTGATACACATGTGCATGTAATCCAGGAGCATGTGAGTCTATAAAGTCATATAATGCCAAGTCTACTAAGAAAAATGCTTTTTTAATTAATTAAAACAATGCCAGATACATGAAATGAAATGTACAGTCTGTATTGACTTCTAAGTCAAGACAAGTCTTAAAAACATTTTATTATGGCAATAAGTCCCACTGAACTTAAGTTTAGATCTCTCGGGGTACACACCCACCGTTCTCTACTTCTTCACGTTTGAACACATCTCCTGTGAAAGCGTTTGTTTCCTCAGAAGGTCATGAACAGCAACACACAATTCAAATACAAGCTTACCATTTTTTTTTATCAAATTAGAGATGAAGCAGGGCGGAGGTAGGGGGTGGACCAGAGGCAGAAAGACAAAACTTTTCTGAAACACCTCCCTTAGTTTCAGAGGGGTTCAAACGGAGACAAAGCTTGGGTCACAGAAGTGGGTTATTCTATACTATTTTGTTTTCTCCACTTCTATCAATCCGTCTGTAGGACAAAGTGACACTAAGATATACTATAGCAATGGGAGGAAAGGAAGGCTATGTGGCTAACTTTGACCTGACTAGATTGAGAAGTGCTTATGGTTAGTGAAGCAGACTTCTAGGTGTGTTTGTAAGGACGTTTCCAGAGAGGATCAAGTAAGGCAGGGAGACGGCTCTAAATGTGGGGTGGGGGTGGGACAAAGAGATGGGGACCTGCTGGATGTAATAAAAGGAAAAGGAGGAAGCTAGCTAAAGCAAACACTCTCTGTTTCTGGCTGCCCAATGGGAGCTGCTCTCTCTGTCTCACCCTCCCTGCCTGAAACAGAGCTTAAGTAGGGCTGAGGTCAGCCTGCTGCTAGACTCTTATAAGACTGCGCAGCTGCATGAACCATTGAGTACAGTGATTTCTGCAAGGAGGAGGCCTGGAATGTTGGTTTTAAGAGTGATATGAAATGAGACAGTACTGAAGACCTATAGCTTTTTGTTGTTGTTCTGAGCATACTCTCTGAACTATAGATTAGAGAGGGTATCTCAGGCAGATCAAACTTATGAGCAGAGAAGACAAAAGCAGAACTCTGCGATATAGTGCTTTAGAGAAGAGAGCTGCTTAGAAGATCTTCAGCACTCAGCTTAGGGGTCTGCTTGAGTCTCTGGCTAGACAATGGGCTGAGTGTTTGCAGAGTGAAGCTCCATGCCTGTGGACACAGGGCTGCAGCACTACAAACTGAAAGATTGCAAAGCCGCACAAAGTTACTGTGCCTTGAGTTTCAACCAGTTACAGTAGAGTCCATACCAAATCAAGAAGTCAAAGCAGACAGGGGACACCTCTAAAAGGAGCAAGTCTTAACTAGGGAGCAGGGAAATGACATCCATATGGGACTAGACATCCATCCCTAGAATAAGATACCCAGAATCTGCTCTAACAAAGCTTTAAAACAAACATCTGAATAGATGTGTCCCAAAACTGCTCTACATGACAACAAACACAGTTTTGTGAGTAAGGCTACTGGAGCACACTCATCCAGTTGTACATAACTAGTGGTGGTTTTTGAGTTGCAGCATGAGGGTGAGAAGTTGGAATAAAGACCACATGGCCACAAACCTAAACTAGTAACTATGTGGTTTTGAGAAAAATAATTGATCCCTACTATAAAGGCTTAAACTAATTTGTAAGAAGTAAAATTACTTAACTAAAGTCCAACAATATTTAAAAAATACATTATCTATCACAGAACAATGTAAACTCCCACACTGTCCACTGTCTAGTACGTAGCCACAGAAGAACAAGGAAACAGTAATGAAGGCCAGGAAGGAAGTCAGGAGGAACAGACCAAGAAGAGACCGTGACGACTTAACTAGCAGGAAGGAGTGTACAAGGACTCCCACATAGACCCAAAGATACACACTGTTTAAAGGTGAGGAGGAGAGAAACGCATTTTCAGGAAAAGCACACAAACTTTTTAAAGATGAGGACTTGTACTCAAAATGCCCAATTTTCAATTCTGCTAAGGGATTACTAGCAACCTAAATGCTGGAGAAGCCCCAAAACTAGGAATGACAACCCAAAGCATGGAGAGTCGTCAGAAGACTCACAAGAGGACAAAGGCCCAGTATTAGTATCTTTTAGTCTATGCACCTGAGTCCCAGAATTGGGAAAAGACTATATATGTATGAACAAGGCCCTAAAACTCCTATATTTGATAAAAACTTACAGGGCCAGTCGATGGTGGACAGGCTAAGCCTGACAATCTGCATTTGATCCCTGGAACCCAGGGTTGAATGAGAGAACTGACTCCCCAAAGCTTCCTCTACCTCCACACTCATGCTGTAGCACATGCATGAACACATGCACATAAATAATAGAACAAAAAGACATACTTAAATGGACATTAAAAAAAATACCCAACCAAACAACACCCCCCCCCCAACACACACACACACTTCGAAAGGGTAAAACAGGAAGAAAGCAGGACCTCTATACTAGGAACATCAGTCACATTTCTGAGAATCAACAACAAATTCTCCCTTTTATTGAAAACAGATTCTTTTCTTCCAACAGATTCTTTTCTTACACAATGTATCCTGATTACAGATTCCCCTCCCTATTACTCCTCCCAGGTTCTCTCCACCTCCTCTTCCATACAGAACTATTCCCTTTCTGTCTCTTAGTAGAAAAGAACAGGCTTCTGTGCTTGCTTCAGCAGCACATACAATAAAATTGGCATATACAGAGATTAGAATAGACCCAGAGCAAGGATGACATGCAAATTCATGAAGCATTCCTTAATTTTCTTTACAGCAATAATAAAATAAAACAAAACTATCACACTGGAGTTAGACAAGACAAACATTAGAAAAAAGAGCCTTAGAGAAGGCCAAGAATAGCGATCCACTTATTCCCACCCTCAGGCATCACACATCAGGAAGCTATAACACGTATGTGGAGGACCTGGTACAGACTTTGCGCACGCTGCCTGAGTCTCTGAGTTCATACGTGCTTTAATAACGTTAATATAGAGAGCCTTTCCAACAAAGAATGTTTAAAACAGGAAAGAGGGAACACGAAGGAAATGGTTCACTGGTTAAGAACACTTGCTGTTCTTGCAGAGGATCTGAGTTCAGTTCCCAGGCCCAACATGGCAGTTTACAGGACCCTCTTCTAGCTTTCACAGGTACCAGGCACGCGCATAGTACACACACATACATGCAGACAAAATATCCATATAAAGAAAATAAAACTTAAAAAAAAGAGGGACTGAAGAGATGGCTTGGTGAGTAACAGCATGGGCTCTTCCAGAGGCCATGGGCTTGATTCCCAGCAACCATGTGGCAGCTCACAACTGTCCAGACCTGAAGGATCCAGCACCCTCTGCAGTTCTGTACTCATGCACATGGTACACAGACATACATGCGGATAAACATACACATAAAAATAAATATTTGAGAAAGAGGAAAGAGGAATTAAAATATCAGATTTCTCAACAGAAACAACGTAAAACTAATGGAATAAGATCATTAAAAGTCTGCCCAAGAGGCTAGAGAGATGGCCCGGCAGTTAAGAATGTTTACTGCTCTTGCAATGGATCCAGGTTTGGTTCCCAGTAACCATATTAGGCAGTTCACAACTGCCTGTAACTCCAATTCTAGGGCATATGATGCCCTCTAACCTCTGAAGACACCTATGTGCATATGGTGCACATAAACTCACACAGGTGTGCATACACACACATAGCAAGTTTAAAAACCACACATAAAAATAAATTTTAAACTCAATATAAAGATGTTTAAGAACAGCAGAAATGAAACAACTCCCCAGACCAAAGTAAGAATTTGTTGTTAGTTTTTCCACTCAAATGTTAGAAGAATCTTTTAGGAAGAAGGAAAAGATACAAAGTGCCACCTTCAATCTGAATGAAGTCATGAGAAAAGGGCAACAGTAGTTTTATTACTGGAAGCTAGGCACTTAGAGAAAAGTGGCTATGCTTGGTGCAGTGGGCTTTGTCCTCAGAGAAGGGTATAATGATAACTCCCACACCATACCACAACATACGAAAGCCTGGATTACTAAGCAAGAATAGGCAGTTTGCAGTTGGAGAGCTTGGATTCACAAAAATAATGTAACCCTTTAGAAATCTGGTCAAAAGCTTTGGTCTTTTAATACAAAAACCACGAGATTAAATTTTTACATAAAAATGTAAAATTACACAAAACTACTTGATTCAAAAGTAAAAATGATGCGCCAGACAAGGAGATTTACGTAAGCAACAGTTTTTCTTTTATTGTAGTCTAGCTAGTGGGTTCTGCTCTTTCGGATAACATGCCTTTTGTCACATGCCTCTTCCCGACTACTCTGTTGAGATTAATTTGCTTCTATTTATTTTCTCCAGTGCTGGGAATCAAACCCAGAGCCTCCCTGATACGTGTGAGCAAGTTCTCCACCCAGAGCAAACCCCTAGTCATGTCATCTGTTTTCACCTCCTTACTACCTAGAGGCAAGCAAGTTTGTAAAAATCTGGAAATTGCAGAAAAGAAGCCCACTGTTTTCAAACAATTCCATAAGGTATTCCTCTTTTCTTTTTAAAAATATGGTATAGCCAGGCATGGTGGCACATGCCTTTAACCCTAGCACTCAAGAGGCAGAGGCAGGTGGAACTCTGGTGTTTCAGGCTAGCCTGATCTACAGAGTGAGTTCCACAGTCAGAACTACATGGAAAAGAAACCCTATCTAAAAAAAAAGAGAAAAAAGTATACATGTTTCTGGGGCAAAAGTAATGTATACATACACAGTGCAATGATGAAATCAGGGGAGTTGGCGTACCCTGACATAAATGTCGTCTCAGACATTTATTGCTTGTAGTAAGAGAATTCAATGCCTCCCTAGATATTTTGAAGTATTTAGTATAGTTTATCTTACTGTAAAAAGTACTATTTACTTTTTCCTGTTCACTTGTAACTTTGTACCCACTGTCAATCCCCACCCACTCTTTCCTTCCACTCTTCATCTCAGATATCCACTATGTTACTTTCTATTATTTGAGAATACACATTAGTGAGATGATTAAAATATTCTGTGTGTCTGGGTCATTATATATAACACAACAGCCTTAAAGCCCATCCATGTTGTCACACAAATCATGGGATTTCATCCTATTAAGAGCTTCATGCATCTCATTGTGGCCACATGTCCAAATATCCAATCATCCACTAGGACACCAAGGCTGACTTTAGTAAACAGTATTTCAATAAGCAAGGAGGTTCTTAGTCCCCCCCACTTCCCATATTTATCTTTGTTTTTCTAGAAATATTTGTATATCATTGGTTTGAACCAATAGCTTTCATTCTTATAAAAGAATGAATGTTTTTGTTTATTTCTTAAAACTAATTGTATGTATCTGTGTGTAAGTATGCGTGTGTAAGTATGCGTGTGTGTGTGTGTGTGTGTGTGTGTGTGTGTGTGTGTGTGTGTACCTGTGGAGGCCAGAAGAGGGCACTGGATCTCTAGTGCTAGAGCTCTAAGTGGTTATGAGCTACCTGAATGGGTGCTGGGAGCTGGGAGCTGAGCCTGACCAGGTCTTCTGGAAGCCTCATCAGCTTGTGTGCTTCACTTCTGAGCTGTTTCCAGTCAGCAGTTTTAGATTTCAACTACTGTCTTTCTCAGAAAGTAAACGTGATCTAACTTTCTTGCTGTTCTTTACCTCAACCTCCTAGGAGTTCCTTTTCTGTCAATAAAGCTATACTGTAATTGTTGCTTAAATCTCAGCTACATTTATGTTATCATGATAGAAGTACTGTTCACTGCAGCGCCAGAGACTGTAAGTATGCTTTACTTCCTTTTTGCTTATTAGATAATAGAATGCCTTTCTATAGAGCCCCAAATCATCTTCTCACTCTATAGAACTAGCCCTACACAGTGTGTTCTTCCTGACTACGGTACCAAGGCATGTGTATCTGAGTATCTAGCACGTAGTACACTAAGGCATGTGTATCTGAGTTTCTAGCACGTAGTACATTAAGCACGCACCCTATGCTACTATTTGACTATTCTCTTTCCTACAGATTCTAATCTTTTAAAAATTTTATTTATTTTTAAAACAATCTTTTCTCATCTTACAAACCAATTCCAGTTTCCACTCCCTCACCACCACCCCCCCACTCCTCAGAGAAGGCAAGGCTTCCCATGGGTAATCAAAAAATTTTGTCTGGCATATCACTTTGAGGCAGGACCAAGCCCCCCCACCCCCCCACCACACACACATCTAGGCTGAGCATGGTACCCCTCTCCAAAGAGAATGGGCTCCAAATACGCAGTTCAAGCACTAGGGATAAATCTTGGTCCCACTGCCAGAGGCCCCACAAACTGCCTAGGCCACACAACTGTTCCCCACATTCAGAGGGCCTAGTTTGGTCCTATGCAGGTTCCCCCACTGTCATTACGGAGTCACAATCACACACTAACTCACTGTTAACACACTTAAACCTGTTTAAAAGTATACAGTGTTTTGCAATCATACTAACCACATCTTTATTTTTTTAAAAATCAAACATCAAATTTCCTCTTTCCTCAAATTTTCTTACTCTCAATAGGGAGGGAGATATCTTTCTCCACGGCTTCTGTTTATTCTGTCCCATTCTGAGACATCTGTTTATTCTCAGGACTACAAGTCTATTCTACATCACTGTTTTCTTAATTCTTCTGTCCTCTGTCTACCAAAACGCTCAATCTTTTGGAACTGATTATTGTCTAGACTTAGGGCCCAACTTTCATGTATTTCTTTAGCACTCTGTTCTTACAAAAGCTACCACTTACATAGTAAGTCTTCCAAATGTAGTCACTAACCAAAAAGACTTGTGTCTTAACTTCAATCAGCTTCTAATGCAAACTTCTCCCCTACTTATCTAACCACAGAAAAGTAAACCCAAAGACCAATATTTGAGGGAAAATATTAATAGAATGTGTGACATTTATAGTACCTATTTGTCCAATTCTCATTAATTTAAAATAATAAATCTTTGATTTTAGATTAGTAGGAAAAATGATAAATTATCACTTAATCCTTTCATAACAATTCAATACATACCTCTGAAGAAAATAGGTTTCTTCTGCAATTATCCACAATAGGGATTTAATCTGCACTATTTTATTAAGAAAAACAAACGAGCTTAGATGTGCTTTAGGCAGCACTGACTGAGAAGTCCAGGAGAGAGACTGGTCTACACTACCTGCTGACTCAGAAGTCCAGAAGGAGAGACTGGCCTACACTACCTGCTGGAATCACACTCAAGCACAGGCTGCAGTTACCTCGTTTTGTAGACGAACTTGGAAGCAACTGTCTGGCTTTGAGGGAAGTACGAGGCAAATTTTTCAGCCTTTGAGAAGCTGTTGAAAAACAAGGAAGTGTAATATTTGCCAGGAAGAACAAGGTAAAGGCTACAGCTTCTGTAAACTTCAACACTTACTGAAATTTAAAAGCTATCAAGGAACAGAAACCACTGAGATAAATGCGTTAGAACTCCAGAAGTGCAAGAATTTTTAAGTGATGCTTCGTGCATTGAGTTGGAAAAGAAAAGGGGCAGAAGTCTTAGTGCCATTGCATATTTTTAGACTTAAGTTTTTTTTTTTTTGGTAGATTAAAAAAAAAAACTCTAATATGTCAATTGGCCAGGACATCAAAGAGAAAACAAGCTACCAGCAAACATGCTACAGATGCAAAGAATATAAACACAATGATAAAAGTGATGAATATAAGCACACAGAATAGAAAATAAACACAGTACTCATTTGATGCAAAAA